TATTACCCCCTTCGTCACCCTGCCACATCTGCTCAGGAAGTGTCAAAACAGTGTTGTTTTTTTTTGCTTCCAACCCCTTCACAATGAGCTCTGGTGTTACCAAATGCAGAGATACTCCGGGATTATTAAGAACGGCTTCGCATTGCCAAGTGAGAACACACGCGGCCAAGAGTAAGAAAGATATACAAGGCTTAGGGAACTCAGAGACTGCAAAAAAGGAGAGAGGGAGAGGGAGGGGAAGAGGGAGGGAGGGATGGTGGAAGAATGGCTGGAAGACCAAGCAGCCAAAAGCAACAGAAACAAACATGAAACAAAAGGGAGGAGAACGTGATAAGCAGTTAAAATAAAGGCAGAGAGACGGGGCAGGATGTGATTCTGTGCCGAGTCCTTACACTGTCCTTACACTGCCGGTGGGATCTACAGTATAGGCGTCTAGCACAATGAGCTGTAGACATACCACGTTGGCATGAGAACGGAAATGTCAAATCATTAAAATCAACCCCCTTTTCCAGTCAGCAACAATATGGACTACAAGTTAAAATGAATAAAAACCAGTCAGAAACTTCAAACACGCCACTTTCGAGATATTATAGAAACCTGCTTTAGTTAATCTATTTTTTCCATTTGATCCAAAGTTCATGTACAGTCAAGTGCCACATAATGACATTTCGGTCAACGCGGTAGCGCATATACAATGGTGCTCGCCTAAGATTATACTGTCATGGAGCAGAAAAATTCCTACCACCTAACGACGTTGTAGCCATCGTAACGTCAAAGCGCAACGCATTACTCACGTGTCTGTGAGTAAACAAACCTACTGCGATGCCAGTGGTATACAAAGGCATAGCAGATACAAGCACGTACAGTAAATAATACTCAGTAACAATAATAACTATGATAATGGTTTATGTTTTTACGGTACTATCGTTTTTTTGTTAAAGTGTACTCTTTATACGAATACAAAAAATGTTTGCTATAGCTATGGACATAAATCATGGGGGGGCTGCAGTGGGCTAACCATAAGGCAATACGCTTGTGACTCAAAGGTTGCTGGTTCAAATCCCCGGCCAGCAAGGTACCACCCCCAATTAATCACTTCCCCTGCTTTAACCCCCCCCCCCCATAATCAAGCCGAAACAACCCCTTAGACTCCGTTAAATGGGTGAAGACCTCAACACAAAGTTACGTCCTTAGCTGTGGCCTAGGTGTATAGTAGGTTACACCATATAGGCATGTGCAACTACACTCTATGGGCCAGTTTCCCAAACAAGGATTAAGCCTAGTCTTGGACTAAATTGCAGTATCAATGGAGATTCACCATTGAAACTCAAAGCTAGTCTAGGGTTAGGCTTAATCCTTGACTGGGAAACTGGCCATATGATGTTCGCACAACGATGCATGGGTGTATTACTCTTTAATGACCCAAAGGTCCCACTAGGTATAGTGACCTAAACAGAGAGCATAAGCCCACCCAGGACAATCTGACAGCTTTCATAAGTTTCCAAACGGCACGAAGCTTAAATCGTGCAGCGTGCCGCGGCGCGGCGGGTCAGCGCGCCTTACCTGACAGCTCGCCATCGGCATGCTCTGCAGGGGCTGGCCCCGGCTTGTCCGCCCGCACCCCTCCCAAGAGGCAGAGAATTGCAATCCACAAGGTTATCAGACTGTCGAAATACATTCTGTGCTTCAAGTCGAAAAAAAAGAAGATAAAACAGTATTAGCAATTGTTAAAAGGGAATCGGTGGCGCGTGCCTCGGTTTGTGGCTGGAACTCTTCAGGCATCACGCCCAGTCTTTATCTACGCATTAACCTTCTCATTTCACACCAAGATCCTGACCGACTGCAACTGCAATACACAAGTTAACACAAAAGCGAAGCAGTCTACAGCACAATAACTAATACCACAATACGCAGCGCTGCAGTAACGGAGGATCCCTGACATGTTTACTGATCGACTGTGTTATACAGTCGTAATGTAAGGATTTTCCTTCGGGAAGTTTTCTGATTCTGACAAAGAACACGTGTTTAGGGTTTCAGATCTTCCAGAAACACACACGGAGACCATATAATGACATATCGTCATTACGCCACTTAAACCAACGGCCAATACCCGTAGCTTACAGATAACTGGTCTGACGGAGCTGTTGCACAGCTGAAGCGATCTGAACCGACCAGCAAATCCCACCTGAAGGCTCTTCATAACCTAAACCAGCAGGCCTAATTGGGAAAAATATTAATGGAATTTCCAGCGTGGGAATTAATGCAATCATAAATCATAAATAAATAAACTATGATACGGCAGCAGTTCATGCCTCCTGCTCCTGGTTAAAATTGACATTCCTATTACAGATAGAGCAGCATGCAGCAAGAAGCCACACAAAGCTTTCACATATCGCTTTTACTCCCTCCTGTACTGAACTTAAGCGCTAAAAACGACATGAATACTGCCTTCATTCGGTCACTCATGCGCTGCCTAATGTATCTGGAAAAACAAAAGACTATCGGTATGGTACTTACCAGAACGGCCGAATATTACAAACGATCAGTACGAAAACACACATAATGTTAACGTGAATATCCGCAAAAAGCGTGTTTACCTTCTGTATGCCTCCGAAAATGCGCCCTACAGACTCGAATCAATCAAATCAATCAGATGCAGCTTTTCCTTTGGACCCGAATCCCAGGAGAACACTGTCTGTACTCCATCTGTATAAAATGTACGCATAAAATTTTCGGATGCGGAGAATCCCTCGTTTGAAACGGCGAACAGGTCTGTAATTAGCTCAGGTTGTTGCAATAAAATACATATCTATATGATAAAGGCTACTATCCAGACTTCACTGCCGTGTTCGCCAAGCAGCTTATTATTATCGTCAATAATAATATCGACATTAATGTCAATATGTATAGCTGCAGAATATTCTCCGTTTCTTCAGCTTGCAGTCCATTTGATAAAGGCCCCTCCCATGCAAATGAGTGGAATTCACTTTTGCCAGCCGAATCTGGGCGCACCGCAGCTCCGCTGTCAGTTCGCGGTGCAGCTGCTCTCCCGAAGCCCCATCGATGATTCCGCACCGGCAAGCGACAGCGGCGAAGCCCGCGTCTGCAGCCGGGAGCGTGGGTCGCTTAAGGTCGTCGCAGTCCACGCCACGCCGTCTACTGGAACGGAGGGTTTTTTCTATGCTGTAGTTTTTTGTCCAAATAAAATAAAAAGCTCAACAAAAGTACAAGTGCGCCATCTTCAGGACTGCAACACTACTACTAATACAGAGAGATATAGCCAACTTATTCTGAGCGGGAAATTCTGACGCCAGCATGTAGAACACGAAGGGTACGATCGCAAAGATAATGCAGACAATCTGCAAAAATAAATGGTCATAGATGGATGGATGAATATGAGTGATGATTATTGCATGCATTTTTTTTATCTAGTTAGTCACTGATTATGTTGGCACCGACTCAAAAGACTATCAGATTAAAGTTTGAAGCAATTTATTGTCATTTGTGCAGTAGCCTACACAATTAAATTTTTATGTTCACTCCAGTTGCTGCAAAACAGAAAAGAAAAACGAAAACAGAAAACAACAGCCAGAGGTGGATAGTTCAGGTCCAGAAAGTAAAAAAATCCTGACCAAGATTTTGTTTCAACCACCTGGTTGAGCATAAAGACTCACTGTCACAGAGTACTCAACTTCTTGGTTGAATCAAAATTTTGGTCTGTATTTTTACCTTCTGGACCTGAAATATACACCTCTGACAATAGCTCAGTAGATTATAAGTAATTAGTATACACATCTACCATACATAATGCCTTATGGCCACTGGGAGAACTGGACTCTCAGTTGCGCTTCTTGGCCAGAGGTGGAAAGTTCAGGTCCAGAAAATACAAATCCAGACCAAAATTTTGCTTCAACCAACCACTTGCGTACTCTGCAAATGTGACTTTTTATACTCAATTGGTTGGTTGAAATAAAATATTGGTCTGGATTTGTACTGAACTTTCCACCTCTGTTCTTAGCACATTGTGGTGGGTTTTACACACGGACATGGACACACACACACACATACATACATATATATATATATATGTGTGTATGTATATATGAACCCCCAGGGCCATTCATGTTCGGTCACCATGCGCTCCCTTTCACGATGCAGACTACAACATCGTAAATTACACCAGCCACACTGCCTTGTAGACTATCCCTGGTACCATGCTGCACATACTGATAGACGTTAGCCTTCTGAAAGGAACAGCCTACACAAGCCTTTCCTGCACAGAGCATACATGTCTATCCAGCCCAATCTGCTACCTAAATGGACTCTCAGATGTGTGTATGATAGCATCACCTCGAGTTCCTCTCCCCTAAGTGGGGACTTGTCTTACACACTCCCCTGGCAATCTATCGCCAGTTCTTCTGTCTTACTGATCTTAAGGTCATTCTTTTCCCACCAACTTTTCCATAAGCCTTCTCTATTACTCTGTATGTACCATACAATGGCGTAATCATAAGAGAAGCTGTTTGTAGATGGCACGTCTGGGGATCCCTCCAGAGAAGCTTAAAGTGACCTAACTGGATAGCAATAGGCCCTCCCATTTCTGACTTGCAGTCTCATTGACATGCAGTTGTACCTGGCCAAAAATGATTTATGTTATATTCATTGTTGCTTACTTCATAAATTAGGTAGGCCTAAAGAGTGTTGCCAGCGCTCACGCATCTGGCGTGACACGCTCTCAGACGCTCACGCAAGAAATCTTAATATATTATTCCATTATAAACCTAAATGTAGCTGCATCAATAGCGTTGGGCTAGTTTGCAAACCCTACATACTATTTAAAACGTAAGAAAACTGCTACGTACATGTAAAATGCGTGTGCATGTGTCTGCAGACGTGTCTCGAATAAAAAAAATCCCTCCGGCCAGCTGACCAACGTTGGCACCCATGATATGAGGCCAGGTTTAATAGGCCTACATGCTGTTCAAATCGCTTTTGGCTGCCTGTAGGCTCACATAAGAATCTCTAGAGCGGTGTCGCTGTAGATTATAAAGATGAGAGAAAGCGAGTGAGCCCGCCTTACTTTGATGTGCTTATGAGGAATCGAAATGGGTTTCATACACAGGCTTGTTTTAAAACGGTTTTTTCACGGATCGCTATAGAATAAAATCTCATGCAGAAAATATCTCGTGACGAGGACACGGCGGCCGGGTTTTGCGGAAAGGTCGGTCAATACCCGACTTTTTAGACATGCACGTCCCTACCGCTATCATGTATCACTGAACTCGCAAATAAACTTCCTCATGCAGCAAAGCCCTTTTTGTGTCAGACTTCCTCTCCGAAAATTGCACTCACTTCCTTAACGGCGTAACCCTCGCTGGCTGGCGGCTGCGAGTCATCCGCAAAGAGTCTATTTGCTCGTGATCCGCAATTCATAAGGATCAGGATTATGTTTGGTGAGTTTCGCTTTATTGCTTCTCCGACTGCTGTCAAAGTGCTCTAGGCGAAAACCCGGCCGTCGGCGGCTTTATGAAAGCCGGCTGCAGGAGCTCACATACGGGATGTTAATGAAGTTTTGGGGGGGGGGTGTCTAAGGTTTTGTCCGTTTCGGATTGTTAATAGTTTAAACAGCTTCTACTTTCTATTTTAGACTGACAGCAGTTAGGGAATATAACTCTTCCGCAAGTTGGCATTATCCATACACGGTGCATCTTTGACTTGGATGGTCTGGGTAATTGTTACTCATGTATAAGTTGTTCTTTGTGGATAATTATAAGCTAGGCTACTTCTTTTAAAATGAAACATAATCTTATTACTATTTTTTACTGCCTAATCTTATATGACATATTTAAAGAAAACCTTTTCTATATCTAACATTTGTGGCATTCTTTAAATATGAATTTCTTCTGTGTCTTTCAATTTTGGTCATATACAACATGGTTTAAGTTAAGAGAAATTCATGTGAATGAGAAGAAGGCTCGTATGTGGTTTCTGAGGTGGACAGTGTCAGGTCACTGGTTTCTGTACTCTCAGTCTGGATCTGTAGTGTCTCGCTGACCTCTTGAGCTGTATCTGATCTATAATGTACCGATGGCCAACTGTGGCCTGTACTACGAAGCGGGGCTACTGATTTGGTATCGGGGCAACTTGTCGGATTTAAGGTACCACAGTTTAAATGGACTTCATATTCGCTCACTTACATTTTGCCCAGACTACCTTAAATCCGACAAGTTACCCCGATAAGCCAGTACGCCCGCTTCATGGTATACAGGCCACAGGATACAAGGGGATGGTGATCATGGCCGAACAGACATAATGAACAGACAGGGTGCAGAGTGGGCTTTATTTTTATATTTTTTTGTCCTTAATCTTGTTTTCATGGGTCCTTTTCCATTTTCCAATCGCGTCAAAGCACATTCCTTTCATTTTTGAATAACTGCCCTCACAAAGTGCAGATTTCTTGCTAGAAGCAGACATGCAACTGAAGTGGAAGAAATTCGGGGTTAGACAATTGCTTTAAGATACTCCAGTGAATGGGGTGTGGTTTTATGACTTTTTCATAACGTATGTCATTATGTATAACTTTTAGAATATAATCAACACACGATACTTAAAAAACAACACAACGAAATGTTCCTGCTTTTGTCTGCGTCTAAATCTTCTCGATTTATAGCACTATTGAGTAACTGCACAGAATGAGTTTGCTGTAAAATAGAGAAGTTTCTTCATGCACAGAACAATTGTCTTATGATCTCATAGCCATCTTCCAAGAGTAACTCTAAGCATCAAAAGTCAAGGCTTTAGATTATAATCCCTTGACGAACAAACCCGAGATTTGACGGAGATCATGCTGCTTGTCAGATGTTGGGCCGCCGTCGGCAGCAGACCCACTTGGAGGTCTGAGAAAAGCTGTAGAAAACAAGGGCTTTCCTGTAGCTGAAACGCCCAAGAAGACAGCCCCTGTCCCAGGGCGGAGCGGTGTGAATTATTTGTAATCTTTTTAGTTGGCGTGTTAAGGTAGACACATACAGACGCTCCCCGGGTTACAATGGAGTTATGTTCCGATAAACCTGTCGTAAGGTGAAAATATGCATTTTAATATGGTACACCTAACCTAACAAACATCATAGCCTAGCCTAGCCTACCTTAAAACATGTTTAGAACACTTACATTAGCCAGCAGTTGGGCAAAATTATTATCAAAAACCTATTTTATAATAAAATGTCAAATATGTCATGTAATTTATTGAATAATGTATTGAAAATTAATCTGTACTTTTTTGTAGTTAGTTAATAAGGGATTCAGATCTTCCGCATACAGTAAGATGAATACTACGATTTTAGCTCAAACCGTAGCTTGAACCTCTATACCACTTAATGGGATTTTAGATGATGGGGTGCCAACCTGAATCCATAATGACTTGCCCTGTCATTAACTGAACCACAGGGTTGCTAAATTTCTTTACTGTCCTCTAACTGGTCTCCACCAAATCCATTCCAATGGTCTCAAAATTAAGTAGTGGCCCATTGAGGTTATATTAGTCTTTTTCTCTTCTGTGTAATATGCAGCTTGTTAAAATGACCTGGAAAATAAAAGCAGAAGGTAAGAAGAGGAAGAAGAAGCTTGTTTCAGGGGACAGATTTCAGTCTTTGGGAACTAAAGGGCTCTTTGCCCTGTGACATCATCCTGTGGCTATGTGGAGAAGGCATCTGCCTGGCCTGGATCACTGGGAGGTCAGCCTTCTGGTGCTTGTGGACCAGGCATCTACTAGACAAGCTCTGAGTGTGTGTTTGTAGATCTGCACTGAGAAGTGCCTAGACCCTCTAGACCAGCCCACCAGTCCCACTGAACCACGCCCCCCCCCAGCCGCCCTCCGCAGAGAACACAGATTGTATGATCTTTGCTTGCCAGAGCCCCACCGAACTCTGCCACAGATGGACGTGTCTCTTTCTCACGTGACATTCCAGTGACTTAGTGAAATGTGTAACTCTTCTTAGGACAGACCATCCTCCATAAGCACCACTAAAGTTTAAGTGCCTCTCACTCAGATGCTTCTCTGGCACTGCACGACATTACCTACATTATTTATCATCTTATTATTTATCATCCATCTCAATATACTTGTATCTAAAGATCCCAGAATTATATAGAAGCCTTTGATATTCTTCGATTTGGATATCGTGGACTATTTTGTTTTCGGCTTTCGTCGACCTCACTTGTAGAAACTTTAACGCTGTGGGCATGATCTGCCGCCATGGTTCTCTGTCAATTTTCGAAATTATTTCGAAGTGGAGCGTAGGCAGACAATCATTTTTAGTCAACACAGGGAAACTGGTGCACTTTTCTGGTTTGTGGCTGACACTCATGTTGCTAAAAAGCACGCTTGATTCGGCGGGAACATTTTTCTTGCGTCAAACCCGGTCGCCGTTCTCCACACCACCCGCCCCCTCAGCTGTGTCAGTCAGAGAATGAAATCGAAATAATTCTGGTACAAAACAAGGTCCCAGTGCAGAGCAATCAAAGTCATGATTCTATTGTTTGAAAATTTCCCCTAAGTGAGGAGATAACATCTTTGGGGAAGGGGGGGGGGACGTGAGAGAGCAACGTACGCCAACGTGAAAACGGCAGGTAAGAACATGGCATGAGATCTGTCTGCCAGTGTCACCCAGGACTGGTGGAACCCAGGTCTGGTGACGGCCTTTTCTGAGCTTACATTGTCAGTGTCCCATAGGAGGCCAAGGGCTTCTTTTGTCACTAGGAATATGTCCCCGTTGCCATGGTGAAGTTGGTGGCTGCGTTGTACTGTTGGCATTTGGCTTCCCCCGCCCCGTAGGTACCAGTATACTTGTGGTTCTGGGTATTACGTGCACAGAGCCCGTGCCTCCGTATCTCTGAGGTCGGCAGTAGGCCCGGGCACCACCCAAATTCATCTGAGAAGTATACAAATGCAGACGGAACAGAGAAAAACTGGTTGTTTACCGATATTTGAACTCTGGTGGTTTTTCAGCGTACCTCAGTCTTTGTTTTCACCGCGAAAATGCTTCTGAAAGCGTCTTTCAGTTTTTTGTTTTTTTTTTCCCCTGCTGAGACAGTGCCGCTTCACTCCTCCCGCCTCTTTTGTTCAGGCGTTTTCCTGCCTCTCGCTCCCTTTGTTTTCTTGATTTCCATAAACAAAAAGCAGGTGCTGCCGTGACACTGGGTCCCACTTAATGGAACCGACAGGGCTATTGCCATCACAGCACTGGAAGCAAGCCCGTAACCGAGAGCCTGAGAGCATAAATTTCACTTGGTGGGGGGGATATGTGTTATGCTCATGGGAGTTTTACTTGCACAAAAATGTTTTTAGGGCAGAACGAAACATGATTGGTTCAGAGACATAAACAATCAGACTGCAGAGGAGGTGGGTCCAAGCAGCTAGAGGAGGTGGGACCAACCAATCAGATGTCTTGGATCCACCACCTCTACAATCTGGTTATCTCTCTGAACCAATCATTTTTCATTTTGCCCTCGGAACGGTTTTTTTGTAAGTAAAACTCCCAAAACAGTGGGATTTAAGTGGCTTGAAGCTTTAGTTTGTGCCTTTAGGTTATATGCCTTTCAAAGGCAGGACAGAGGGGGCTTACGTGTGATCCTTGGTTATGAGTGTGACTGTGCAATTGGTCTTTCAGGATGCTGAGGTCCTGAAACCAAAGGTATGCAGAGCATCAAGTGTGTGGTGGTAGGCGACGGCGCGGTGGGCAAGACCTGCCTGCTGATCTCCTACACGACCAACGCCTTCCCCAGGGAGTACATCCCCACCGTGTTCGACAACTACAGCGCGCAGGTGACCGTGGATGGCCGCATGGTCAGCCTCAACCTGTGGGACACGGCGGGCCAGGAGGAGTACGACCGTCTGCGCACGCTCTCCTACCCGCAGACCAACGTCTTTGTCGTCTGCTTCTCCATCGCCAGCCCTCCCTCCTACGAGAATGTGCGTCTCAAGTGGCACCCGGAGGTGACGCACCATTGCTCCGGCGCGCCTGTCCTGCTGGTGGGCACCAAGAGCGACCTGCGCTCCGACCCAGAGGTGCTGCGCAAGCTCAAGGAGCAGAACCAGAGCACCATCACCCAGCAGCAAGGCCAGGCTCTGGCCCGGCAGATCCATGCCATTCGGTACCTGGAGTGCTCTGCCCTCAACCAGGAGGGCATCAAGGAGGTGTTCGCAGAAGCTGTACGGGCCTTCCTCAATCCACAGCCCACTACCTCCAAAAAGCCCTGTGTGCTTCTGTAGGCTGAGGGTGTGGTGGGGGTGGAGAAGGGGGAGGAGCCGGGGCTAGAAAGGGGCGTGGCCTGCGAGAGCCAATGTGCTGAAACTGAGAGACCATTAACAGAAGAAAATGAAAATAATTATATTAAGAATGTAATTAAATTACAAACCATGTTTTAGAGAAAACCCTGCTGTTCTTGATGTTGTGATTGATATCCACTGTAACACAGACCCTCTTTTTTGCATCCTGCTATTCTGGCCTTTTCCAGGTGGCAGGCCCCCCGCACCAGCACTTGTGGGGCTCTATTGGGCTTCCTCACCCTGCTGTTTCTCACTGCCACTGCGGGTGCTCCGGCTCCGGGCATGACCCTTGGTACCAGTGAACGTAAAGCTATTTGCAGAGCACAAGAACCTCGTCACCCCACAAACACACAAAATGAGAAGCACTCGAAGGTCTCAAAGACCATCTTCCGCTCCCTCTGCCTCACGTCTGAGCTCCCGGCCAAAGATGAGGCCCTATGAGACTTCCCGCTCAACTGCCCGACAGTATAAAAACACAGACGAACACCCCTTGCTGAATGTTTTGCTAACTGGCTAAATCTCGATCTTCATTTTTACCCATTCGTTTTTTCTTAAATATTGAATGTTAAGTTGATCTTTTCTAAGTATGAGCGTGTGAGCTTGTGGATACAGGGTGATGCTCCCAGTGGTGCAGCAGGTGAATGAGGAATTTCAGTCACCCCACCATGGGTCAGATTTGTGATTCTGACAGACTTGCAGCCCCATTTTCTGCAGAAATGTATCCAATTCGGCCTGCTGATACCTTATCGCTCTCTGAGTTCTCATAACTGCCTTTTTTCACATTTGGGGGGGGGAGTAAAACCTTTAATTTTATAAAGAGGCGAATGTAAAAGCTTAATTGATAATTCTGTAGGTCAGCAAGCAAAACATTGTGCTAACAATGCAAAGATTGGGGGTTTGAATTCCAGGCTGCACACAAAAAGTATCAGATAAAATAGAAATGAAACTGAAAGGTGCTTAATCTAAAAAGCAAGTTTAAAGATTCTGTTCTGTGCCACAGTGGCCTTATAGAGATGTGAAAGAAGGACTTCTGATGCCAGTGTGTGAAAAACAGCTGTTATTCTCAATGGTTCTTATAACCTAACTGGTTCCTTTTTAATTCTGTTCATCGTGTCAGTTTCACGAACGTCAAGTTACTACAGTAACCAGAAACCTGAAAAAAAAAAAACATGTAAGGAATTAAGTACGAAATGCAATTTTCAAGGAAGTGATGTTTAAATCTCAAATGAGAAATCATAGGAATGTTTTGTAGTGTACTGTGTGTGACATTGTACTGCTTGCATCGGGAAAATATTTGAATGCAGATTTTACAGCTGGGTGTGGCTGTGTCGCAGTCAATATTTGATGTGTTAGAAATGTAAATGTCGGGTAGCGATGTGGTGAAGTGTGTCTACAGGATGGAAAGTCCTGATGGGGTAAATCCAGGAAGGGTTGCCAGCTGGATGGTTTCTGAATCCGTGGTACAGAGAGAGACTTTTTACGCAGCTTGGAGTTTCGTGACGCGGCAGGAAGTAACCTTCCCGCCATAGACGAACGGCTTCGAACCGCGTCTCCAGACTTCTCCCTTGCACCTTGATGCTGCATCTCCATGACCCCGGGCACACGCAGAAAGGCTGCTCTGCGGCTTTGCCGTCTCCGTTCCACCCCGACTCCTCTGTCTTCGAGCTGCAGAGGTTGCCATGGTGGCAGGCGAGCACGGCGCTGGAAACGCTCGTGCTACGAGGAACCGTAGCACTGCATGCAAACACAGGGGAAAAAAAAAACCCCGTCTATATATGATTAAATAACACTCGTTGTTTTAAGAAGTGCTCATTCTGTCACGAATAAATAAATGTAATACGTTTTCTACATTTTCTACAATACTTTCTTTCCATCAAATGAGATTAAATGTGTTTGTAGACTGTCGCCAGTTTTTTTATCGTCACGGCACAAAGGTCGAGACCCATTGACCCTGCTGACCTGCTCCTTGTAGCTGGCTGGGGTATGCTTTCCCCCCAACAAGATTTTGGGCCCCATGAAGACATATCAAATTAGGCCCCCCAGTCCAGACCAATACAGATATTTTTCAAATTTTCTAGGTCACTCAGGGGCCCTTGGGATTGTCCTAACTTTCCCTTGCCTTATGGTCATCCTTGCCTACAAGCATCCAGAAATCACGAGAAACGCAACGAATTATACAAGGACATTGTGATGTGGTGTAATGAGGGCCAAACACGGCAGACCGATGTCCATCTTTCATGTTTTTTCTCAGTAACCGTGTCGTCACGCCGATGACTGACCAATCACCTTCCCCGATATCTCTGACCTCAGTTTGTTCTTCTGCTTTGCACGCTTTCACACCATAGCTACGCCAGTGTACCTTCACCACAGTCACTCACCTCGCACAAATCGAGAGTGTGTGCGGTCGAGGCACTTTCATGCGACGAAGCTAATTTTACAGGCACTGTTAAAGTACTGCCGGCTGAAGACCTGGCCTAACCCAACCGTGGGCTAGGGCCAACTCCCCAACTGCGAGCTCGAAGGGGAAATACAGCAGCCCGTTATAAACAAGGACCACAGTGTGTGCCTGTGTTTTGTTTTCCTTTCAGTTATTGTCACCGCTTAGCCGACGACAGACAGAACCGGCATTCGACGGCAAGCTGGCCCCGTGCTTGTCACTGAGAAGAGCTTATCAACTAATCTCAGTAAATATTGATGGAAAGCAGGGATGATAACTACAGTTAACTTATTTAGCAACTACTTTTATGCACAGCAACATACAATTGAAAGGAAGGATGGGGCAATTGGGGGGGGGGGGTGGTTTAAAGACAGTGCTCAAGAGGTCAGTGGGGAAATCACTCTGGTGACTGAGATTTGAACCAGTAACCTTGCGATCACAAGCACAACACCCTAACCACCTGAGCCACACGCACCATCATCTTAGCGCTTATCTTAGAGAGGCTGGTGGGAAATGGACTGCCGGAACCTGCTGACATTAACGCAAACTGATATGCCGAGCGTGAGGTCAGGAAAGCTGGCAGTATGAGGCGTGCTTTTGGCAGTGGGGATGGCCACAGCGACGGGAGGCTAATGAACGCACTCAAAGTGCAGCGGGATGCTGGACTCGGTCCTCGCTGCATCCTTCCAAGGTAGCCTTTTTGCCATTTCAGGGATTTCCTGTTTGGAGTTTGCCGCAGAGCCCCACCAGGCCACAGGCAGAGGCAGAGACGGCAAATGGGTGGCGGGTGGGAGCAGTTTTATGTTCTGAGATAAATTTGACTTGGGGTTCTTTGTGGCACGAGATCCGGAAGGTGGAGTTCTGAGTCATGTGGTAGCTTGCGTGTAAATAAACCCCCACCCAGGTTCCCTTATGAATTTCACCCCCCTCTCCTCACTGTGGGGGGCGGGGGGGGATAGGACAGACAGCCCCACTAAGTGTCTTGGATGTCCTGGGTGCCGGGGGCTGCTTGTGGAAATGACGATCACATGACGGTCACATCTTAGGTCCCAGAAGCACATCGGGAACAATTGAAAAGCAAATAAAAAAAATTTAAAAATCACTCATTCCATGTGATTCATTTTCCAGAAAATGTTCTTTTGGAGTTTAGGAAATTTTACGAAAGTCAATGACAATGAAACTTGACTTTAGATCACTGGTGGGCTCACCTCAAAAACAACAACAAATGGACAGAGTAAATTCTGCAAATTCGGCGTCCCTGGGCTGGATACTCATGGCCGAACGGCCCGAGTCCAGGAGCAGCAAGCCACTTTGAACGATCGCACGTACGAGCACTTAAAGTTCTCCCATGGCAAATGGTGCTTCCTGCTTGCAGCGCCAGGAAGCGACTCAGAACAAACAAACACCAGAACCTCCCCGCGGCAATTTGCATGGGGGACATTTGGCAGGGAAATGTGGAGAGGCAGGCGATGGGAGAGGGGGCCCAGGGAGATCATTTGACAGTAAAATGAAAGGACCATTGGGGCAGGCGTAATGTCTGACGTGCGGTGTGTCGTTCCCCCCCATTTGATAGAGCCATTCTGAGCTGCATTCAAATGATTTCACTTAGGTTTGGCCCAAACCACCCACACACACAAACGAGAGAGACTTTGATTACAGGCAAGAAAAGGATTCCAGTGCATCAAACCTGAGTGTAGCATTCATACCATATCCTGTATGATCCTCACATCATTTCTGCCGGCAGTGTCGGTGAGTGACCTGGGCCTAGGGGACCACATGGTATGGACCGCAGAACGCTTTTCAACCAACAAGGCCAGGCCATGGAGACAGGTCCACTTGTCTGTTTGCTTTTGAAAAACTCAGATATAACCTCTTCACTGTCTAAATCGTCGAAGCCCTCTCGCTTACCACATAGCCACGAGTTTGAAACCCTTCAAATGTTTTTGCTACCGATCAGGCATGTGGCAGGTAGTCAGTGAAATTTATGGAGCCTCCCCCCTGATGAAATCTACAAAGAGAGACCCCCCAATGGGCCTGCTGCTACAGACCTGCTAATGGCTAATGCTGTCAATGACATAAAGCATAAATGTAAAGTACAAAAACACAGCAGATTAGATGTCCCCTCACAACACTCAGTGAGTAACCAGTATCACCTGACCCTCTTAAATCACATAAAAATAAGACTTTTATTAATAAAGTTTTTTACATTATCTGTTACATTATCTGCAGGTAATTTTTTTCTTGGTAGTTCATCGCTGCTTTCTTAATGATACTCCAAAAGTCACCCCCCCCCATTCCGTAGTCCATGCCACATGGTGTATGAGATTCCACCTCAGTCTTTATGTGCGTAACTGAAATAATCAGTTAAAAATCAGTAAATAAAGTACCTGTCCTGTTTCCTGCGCAAAATGACATTAGATCAAATGTATTATGTAAATGTAAAGCCCCAAGCACCCAGGCACTGATACTTTCCCATCTATTATGATCGATTCGCAACCAAGATGTTAAAGTCAACCTTCAGTCAAGATAAGAGAATTGTTTGGTAAGATGATATTTATTAATCATTAGCAAGCACTGCTGCCTGAGTCCCGCTGGACCGGCAGTGTCACGTTACATTCAGTTACTGGTGATTCCATAAGTCTTCAGAGGCCTGCTGCCATCAGCCAGTAGGAGCACCCAGAGGCCTGCTGCCATCAGCCAGTAGGAGCACCCAGAGGCCTGCTGCCATCAGCCAGTAGGAGCACCCAGAGGCCTGCTGCCATCAGCCAGTAGGAGCACCCAG